GCCAGTTCTGTTAGCTCTACGCCTGCCGAAGACACAGACGTCCATCCCTGTAAACACTGGGACGTAACTCAATGATTAAGTAAATGATTCTTATTTCTTATTTCAACCGATGCGTATATTAGCTGCGACATATGAATCAAGATGCTATGACCAAAAAAATTTGATTGGCAGATGAACGTTGATCTATGATTGACCAAATTTCTGAAAAATGTATAAAATAACAAAAGAAAAAACAAAAAAAACATGGATTTTAAGACAGGATATATTTTAAATAGAAATTTTCTGAATTTTGGGAAATATAATCTGATAAAGAGTACATTTATATACATGTTTAAGCCAGAATGATTTTAACTTTTAAATATGACTTCCCTATGACTTTAAAGCCAGAGGAGAATCTAATAATAGAGCCGCTTCCAAGCAAGAAATTGTCAGACATATGAAAGTGCATATTTATAGTGTAATCGAGTTGCTTGATGCAAAGTAAAGCAATAAAATAATGATTTTTTTCCCTCTTTCGTTTTAAGTTTTCTTTTTTCCTTTTTAGCAGAAAACAAAAACTCAAATATGCCACACTAGAAATTCTAACAATAAATCAATAGGTATTATTAAGTGGATCATCCTGACATAAGCCAAATGAATCAGAACCTTTGGAAAATGGTTCAAATGTTATAAAGACAATGGAGACACTTGAGTGCTGTACAGGAACAACATTATTTTCTAACCTAGACTGGTGACCTAATTATTCAGCCAAAACAGCAGGAAGGGTCTAAATTAATTTATGTTAAATACTCTGAGTGAAACAGGATCATTGTGGAGAGGAGTGAGAAGTGGTAAATGACTAAGTGAAACTCAGTGGAGGTCAGATAATATAGCACTGAAGAAAAGCACTAACCTTGTGGTGACCCCGGGTTGCTGCGCTGGAAGGGATCCGTGGGTCTCGCTCTGAATGCGCGGTAGAAGCGGCAGCACCGAACAAGGGTCCCTTACTGAGCAGTAATGATTTTATAAGATTAGCAATGCTGTGTAGTTGCTGTCGGTTAATAGAGGGAGTTACCATAACTCGCATATCAAGACTTGTTCAGTCAAGGGGAGGAGCCGAAGGTGAGTCCCTGCAAGTATTTACACGCATTAAAATAGCCTCAGTCAAAGTCTGGGCGTTTATTAGAGAGTTGAGGATTGACCCCGTGAATGATACTTTCACTATTAATCAGGGGGTTATTAACGGAGAACTGTCACTGCCAGAAATGCATACAGAAATGTAAAAAAGACTGGCAGAAAAAAATAGCTTTGAGAAAATAAATAGGGTACAAAAAATATAAATAAAGCATAAAATAGACAAAAATATTATAAAATGCACATAAATACGTAAAAATAAATAAATAAATAAAGTTGAAGATTATAACGGAAAGTAAATAAAAAATGTTATTATTACAATATGGAAGCTAATTAAAAGAGATATATTTA